GACCCGACTGCTTTCTTCGCTCCACACGTGTTCGACTTATCCGACTGTTCCGCAGGCCTTGAGCTCATATGCTGCGCAGACCAAAAGGAGTCCGATCGCTTAGATCCAATAGTTGGTAGCGCGGAGCTGGTTGATCCAGTTCTTTTAACCTATGGAAACATGGGATGACCCTTGGGCAGACTATCTGCTTCGGCGGAATGGACAATCCAATGACGCAAACACTGCGCCGCCTGGGGCGAGCTCTTCTACTTTTGCAGGAAGATCTTCAAGAGATGCTTCGAGAACAAATGTTACTACGAGTGCGGAAAGGTTCGTTCCTCAAGGGAACGGCATGTCAACAGCTGTCGGCGGTCAATGGCCATCGGGAGCTCCATGGACAAGTTTCGCAGCGAGACCTCCGGCGAACTATGCAACCTTTGGATCTCCTGGAGCGCCAGTTGTGGGGCAAGGAGCTCAATCATGGGGGCACAGCCTTGGAAGTTTCCAAGGATCAGTGCCATTTGCAACGTCGCCTCCGAGCCTAGCCGCTGCCGCCGCGATGCCAGGTACCCCTACAAGCTTCGCGCCGGGTATATCTCCAAGCTTCGCGTCGGCTACCCCTCCGAGTTTCGCCGCAGCTACATCCTCGAGCTTCGCACCGACTACCCCTCCAAGCTTCGCAGCAGCTATGCCACCTAGTTTCGCGACAGCTACCAGTCCAACGACCTCTCCGGCGACTAATGGATGTGAGAATGCCACAGGAGCAGCTATGTCTTTGGACCCATGCAGTGGAGGCAGAAGTCCAGAGATCAGGGTGCAGAGTGCCTTTGAGGTTTTGGGACTGAAACGGCCTAGCGAGTCCCGTGATCCTCCCGATCAAGCTGAAAGGTTCATTGCTGCGCTGTCAGGTGAGAAAAGAAGTATCCCGTCATGGTCGGGACAGCCCGGAAGTTTGAGGACGTGGCTCAAACTCCTGGCGCATTGGGAGAGTGAAACAACGACTCCCAAGCACAAGTGGGGCATTCGACTTTATCAGTCGTTCGCCGAGACGTCAGAGCCTCGCAAGATAGCGGACCAGGTCGACTTGAGCAATGTCCTCAGCGAGCGCGGATATGGGCTGATACTCACGGCCATCGTCCAGAAGTACAAACCGTTTCTAGATGTCGCAGCTCCGGCTGCCATAGACCACTTTCTGTTTGCAGGAGAACGTCAACGAGGCCAGGCGTTTGCTACCTTTATTGCACAGAAAGAGGTGGCACGACAGGAAATGGAGCAGTACTTGCAAACCAAGCTGAACGAACATGTGGCTGGGCGCGTGCTGCTGAGACAAGCTGGGTTGACTGAATTTCAGCGGGAACTTTTGGCATTAAAGGACTTGAGCCCTCTTCTGACTTTTGATCAAGTATCAAGTCTTCTGCGGCCTTTGGACAGGCCGGACATGATAGCTCAGGCCGCTAATGCCGCTCTGGGAAATCAGGCAGCCAAACACTATCCAGTCATTCGGGAAGAAGATCCAGTGGACGACGAAGAAGAGGACGAGGAGGCGCAAGGTGATGATGGTGGTGAAGATTTGCAGTTCGAGGATGTTCATGGTGAGTTTGATGACGAGGGCTTGTGGTTTGAAGACCGCGAGTACGATGAAGATGAAGCCGTGTACATTCAAGCGTACCACTCGGCCTATCAAGATGTGCGAAAGGATTTGCAAGCGCGGAGAAAGGAGCGAGGTTTTGTGCAACGGCGCAAGGATCCTCGTGGTCAAGGCTCTAGAAATCCTTCGCGCGGCCGAGCTGTTGGTCGAGGCAAAGGCGGTCGCGGACACCACATGTCGCGATCCAAAGGGGATCGAGGCGACTCTCGTATGATCCGAGGTGGTGCTGAAGACCTTCGAGCACGAACCCGTTGCTTTAACTGCCAGGAGCTTGGACACTTCGTGCGGGATTGCCCGCTGAAAGGCGGTGGCAAGGGGGGCAACAGTGCTGGTAAGAACGCCAAGACGGGCAACTTCATCGTTTGTCGCGGCATGGGCAACACAACCACAAGTTTCGTCACGACTCGGGCATCGCTACACATCTATGCCGGAGTCACAGTGAGACATGGCTATGCGCTCGTGGACACCGCGGCGGAGGACGCGGTG